CGTCAGTGACCGAACTGAAATGAGTCACACAGACATACAACACGGAAAAAAACCTTTTGGTCCAAGCAGACCAAATGGACCATAATCCCAAACTCAACTAGTCCCATCTGCCTGCGCTCACATCCACCACTTCCACTGCAAGTTCATTCCATACATGAACCACGCTGTAAAAAAAGTTGCCCCTTACATCTTTTTTAAAATCTTTCTCCTCTCACCTTTAAAATGTGCCCCCTAGAGTTGACACCCCTCACCCGAGAGAAAAAGACACCTGCCATTCACCTTATCCATACTTCCCATGATTTTATAGACTTCTAGAAGGTCACCCCTCAACCTCCTATGCTCCAGTGAAAAAAGTCCCAGCCTTTCCTTATAACTTAAATCCTCCATTCTGGGCAACGTTCTGGTAAATCTTTTTTGAACCCTCTCCTAATTAATAACATCCTTCCTGTAACAAAGCAGCCAGAAGAACGCTCACCAACATCCTGTACAACCTCAACATGACGGTTCAACTGCTACACTCAAAGATCTGAGCAATGAACACAAGTGTGCTAAACACTTTGTTAACAACCTTATCAACATGTGATGCAAACTTCAAAGAATTATGTACCATAACCCCTAGGTCTCTGTCTACAGCATTACCCATGATCCTGCTTTTAATTGTATAAGTCCTGCCCCTATTTGTTTTACCAAAATTCACTACCTCGCATTTATTCAAATTAAACTCCTCAGCCTATTGACCCAACCTTCACTATCCACTACACAACTAATTTTGTTGTCATCTGTAAGCTTACCAACCATGCTGTCAGTATTCTCATCTAAATCATTTATATAAATGACAAAAGTGGACACTGCTGGTCACTCCAGTCCGAAAAACAACCCTCTCCACCACACTTTGTCTCCTGCCATTAAGCCAATTTTGTATCCAGTTGGCAAGCTCACCCTGAATCCCATGTGATCTAACTTTACTAATTAGTGTACCACGTGGAACCATGTCAAAGGCTTTACTAAAAGTCCAGGTAAACAATATCTACCACTCTGCCCTCATCAATCTTCTTGGTTACTTCTTCCAAAATCTCAATCAAGTTTGTGAGACACAATTTCCCTTGCACTAAACCATGCTGACTATTCCTAATCATTCCTTGCCTCTCCAAATGCATATAAATGAAGGACAAGCACCAATTCCTAACATTTGATGGTATAAACCTACCCAATACCTCAAAGATCTAAGAATGGTGAGTTTTATGTTAAACAGATAAAGTCATAGAATGGTTACAGCACAGATTAACCAGTTACTTGTGGTTAAACAGTGAAAACCCTTCAGCAGTTGTAGTTACAGCACATTAATACAGCAGAGTGCTTTGGCATGAACGTTACTAGAAATCTATCACATGGAACAATAGATCTTATAGCATTTGCATTAAGACGTTCTTAAAACACTTCTAAAAGTCTTCTCAAGATGTGAACAATGCTGATAAACTCACATTTATTGTCTATTACCAATCATCCTGAAATGGTGTCGACAATCTCGTTAAATCTTTGTCGACTTGTGGTGGTATGTTAGTTGGGAAATTCCACGCTATTGATCCAGCAATGAAGAAGTGAATTGGGGCAGGTTATGTAACATAGCAGGATAGTATGCTACTTATAGGGGAACAGGGAAATGTTGATATTCCCCTAACACTGCCCTGTCCAGTTAATAATACCATGGGGCTGAAGTGGTGTCAAAGTTAAGCCTACTAAGTTTCTGCAGCATACACTGTAGATAGTATACAGTCATAGATTGCAAAGAGGATCTGGATATTGAATTAAATGGCAGGGGCAGGGCAGATTGCTTTATTCTGGAAAGTGTTAAGTTTCTTCACTATCACAACAACACTCAGTAAGCTCTCCGTTTGTATTCCTGACTGGAGTCTTGTCGATGCTAGAGGTTAACTATCACATTGATCCTGGTCCTTGTCTTTCCAGTGGTCAGTTTTGACATGGTTTGCTTTGTTAAAAGTCTGATCAATGCTGATATCTCTGGATGTTAACAGTGGAGGCATCAACTATACCAATGTCAACTATACCAAGGTTGGCAGGAGGTGACTGTATAACACAAATGCTATATATGCCTCTTATCACCCCAAGTCTTGATGTTTCTTGAAGGCGGCTGCATTATTAGAGAACTCAAGATTGAAGTAATCAGAAACAGTTTCATTCCTGTCCTTATAATAAAAAATAATCGATGAAATAGCTGAAGATATTTTACCTGAGGATGCCAGCTCCTGCTGTGATTAAACTATTGCAGTTGGTCTCCAACAATTATAACCACCCTTCTGCAAATAATTTGTTTCCAGACATGGGACAATATTCACGGTAATTTCAGTTTTGTTTGGATTCCTTGGTGCTAAATGTTGCCTTGATTGTAGGGGTGATCACTGATCTCTCATGCATTTACTTTGTATTGTCTGGAATGAAGTGGTACCAGTGGAACTGGATGGACTACTTGCCTGTTGTTACTAAATGGTACTTGATGACACTTGCCAAAACTGTCACATCACGAGCAGCAAGCCGATAGTATGAGAACTGAATAAGTTGATTAATCTTGTTTTTTTTTGTTAATGTCATTTGTTAATGACATACCTGGGCATTAGTCCACATTAGGTGCCAACACCTTGGTTACAGCAGGAATCACTTGCTAATTTGGTTCACAGGTCTGAAGCATCAAGTCGGCAGTTTGTTCCAAATAGTGAGCCAGGTTGTCTGGGCATTATTGCCAATGGTGGCAATGACTTCAAGAGGCCATTCATTTGGCAGTTTTGGCCAAAATCACTTGTAAATACTTCAGCATCATCTCTTGCAAATACTTCAGCATCATCTCTTGCATAAACACATGCTGGACTCACCATGGTTGAGTACAGGATGATTGGCGGAAGCTCTTCCTTCTTTGTTGCTCATTGTTAATTATCAAACTTATTAGTACAAAGCATTTCTCTGATTTATTAATATTGGGACTGCTTAGCCAGTTTATTTTTGATGATTGGTATGCAGCAAGCCCTTTGTTGTACTGACTAAGTTGGTGCATTATTCTGGCATGTCCTTAGAAGGCCAATTCTAGAATGTTGGTTTATCCCACAAGAACAAGGCAGTTACAGTTCTGGGCACTATTCTATAGAAAAGTTGTAAGCACATTGGAGACAGTACTGAAGAGATTTACAAAAAACAGGTCCAGGGATGAGGCATTTCAGTTATAAGGATAGATGGGTCTGGTTTGGACTGCTCTTCTTGGCGAGAAGGTTAAAAGGTGGTAGCTTAGGTCTGGATAGAATAGATATTAACAAGTCACCAGCCTGCGACCAGAGAGGCGCTACTCTACTTCAGGCATGGCTGACCAGGAGACTCTCTTGCTATTGACATATTGCATGGATTTACAGGTTTATAATCCAGTCCTGGACAGAGACTTGAACCCAGAGTTTCTGGCTTATGAACTGGGACAGTACTTATTGAACTTCAAGATCATAAGGAAATTAGTTAACATTTATTCAATGGGTTTCATTGTTCATCCTGTGCACATCCCTAGATGAGCAGCCATAATTTTTATTCCTTTCACATTCCGTACTTCATCCAATGGATAAAGATCAATCCTTGTATGAACTGCTTGGAAGTGGCTAAAAGTACTTAGACGTACCAATGAAAGCATGATTATTAAAAAAACTGCAAAAAATGGAAAGTCTAAATAAGCTATTCCAAGCAGATTACCAAACAGAAATAAAAGTTTGAATGGGCAACCCAGAACCAAAATGAGCAGCTAAGTATTTGGAATCACTTTGCACTTCTAAAACAGATCTCTGGTTCAATCCTCGAGCTGATTGCAACCAGTAAGTCAATTGGGAACTATAACTGGCAGCATCACTCTAGAATGAGGAGGAAAAAAAAATAGGATACTTGCATCTAAATGCCATCCAGAACCTTAGAAGTGTATTCATGTCTTAAGATGCTATTCAACTAAGATGTCATGATCAAATATCATGTATGTTCATAGATGAAGAACAGCCATTTAGACAAGGGTGGAGGGGTCAATTACTAAAGGACACAGGTTCAAGGTGTGGGGGGTGTGGGAGAATTAAAAGACACATGCAAGGCAAGTTTTTCACACAAAGGATGGTGAGTGCTTGGAACGCACTGCCAGAGTAGCAGTCACAACAGCAGCATTCAAGAGCCACCTAAACGAATATGTGAATAAGAAGGGAATAGAGGAATACGAATCCTTTAAGTGAAAACAGTTTTAGTATGGAAGGGCAAAGTGTGTCAGCACAGGCTTGGAGGGCCGAAAGGCCTGTTCCTGTGTTGTATTGTTCTTTGTAAGAGATCAGGAAGTTGCTAGCAAATGAGTGATTATGTCACCCCCCTTCACAAAGTGATAGAAAGCGAGGCAAAAATAGAATGCAGAACACAAATACGTTCCCTATAGTTTCTTTTAGTTGGCTTAACAGGTTTTGTTATGGATGTGATTCTCCACATTGTATAAGAATCCAATGGCACCCATGAATCAATTATTAGACCATCCCATAACCGATTGTACAAAAGATCTCAGAACATTTTAAGACTGTTGGTAAGAAATGCAGAGGGAATGGGAGGAAGAACCCTTTTATGCAGTGAGTGGTAATGACGTGGATATTGCTACCCATAGGATGGAAACAATGAATATAAAAGGGAATTGGATAGGAATGTGAAGAAAATAAACTTGCAGGGCTACTAGGACTGAGCACAGGAGTGGGATTAATTGAGATTGTTTCCCAGGGAATGGGCATTAAACTGAAATAACCATTAGATAGCACCTTTTCCATCAAGCACAGAGCTAGGAAAGGGATAAAAATAAATTGGTGCTGTTCAATGAAGTTTGATCGACACCATCCAGCTACATTTATTAAGTGTGTTTAGGAAGGCAGATGTAATTCCATGGAAAACAGTCCAAGCACAAAAGACAGCTGGTAGTCACTAGAATAAACGAACATGACTGCTTTGTCACAAAGTTAGCACTTTTATTTCTCAAATACAAAAGTCATCACTCAAAATACGTATGATTATATAAAAATGATTTGTACAAAGTCTTACTTGTGTGAAACTCTGAATAAATTCCACCTATCAGTGAATGAGAAAACAACTATCATCGAGCCTGGCATAAAGATTGATGCAACTGAAAACTTGTGATGTGGTTGAATGGTGGAATTTCACATAGTATTCTTACAGCTCTGTAGGTAAATGCAGCAATTGATATCGTGCCAAACCAAATCAGACCAGAGAAGTCAGTTTTGATTTATTTTGTCAGCCGGTATCAGTGACCCTAGAAATCAGAATAAGACTTCAGTAAATGTAGGACTAAGGAGGTTTCGTTTACTGATCGTTACCTGTGGATAAACCCCTGTCACCCTGGTGGCAGAAGAGTCAAGTTTAACTGTAATGGGGGTCACTCTTGAACACCAACATGGATCACTGCACATATAGGCTAGTTATTCTGGAGTGTTACCAGAATGATCATGACTGGAACTGTACCCTGAACCACTGGTTACAGAAAAAGTGGCATCAGAAGAGCAATGCATTTGATATCCATCCCTCTCCCAATCCAGGAAGTGATCAATAATTAAGCTCATTCTAAAGCCAACACAATACAAGCGGAAGGCTATGTGCAGCTCCAGACATTACTGTCCAGGTGTTAGCTATCCAATATTTTCAAACATTGAGAATTGATGTGCTCAATATCGGGGATATAGAAATTCCACTTGCCAACTAGTCCAGGATTAGTTATGTTCTGGTTCAGCTGACAACACCTGCAAAAGATTCTTCAAAATCTGGTTGAATAGAACAGCTTAAAATTTACAACTGGGAGCAAAAACATACCATCTGTGAAAGATTTTAAATTTACGTTTTAATCATATTCTTCTGCCCTACACGCATGTAACACGTGATTCACAGGTACTTCTAGGAGAGTGGGTGGGGGTTACTTTGATTGGTTGGAGAATATATACGACATACAAGTGCCTCAAACCATTCCCAATTTCAATTCCTACAACTCCAATCAGCTAATATAGAAGAGATGGCCAGAAGGCAGTATTGTTTTAAATGTCTGTGAATGGGGAAAAATCCTCCAGCTAATCAACAGATTCAAATGTCCTTGTAGTTACTGAATTTGGTAATGCTGCAATAAGGATCAATGAAATCCAAGAAAACTTTTCCTAAGAATAACAAAATCCATAACCTCATTGACACTTAATTCATCCACTCATCCAGATCATGAGCACTTCAATCAAGCCACTGGTCGGACAATTCAACTACTAAAGTTGCTATAAAAATATCTCTTCGCCTTTTGAAACAGCAGTGGATTTAGCATATTGGCAATCCAAATGTCTTCCGTTAGTGTATAAAAAGAAGTATTTCAATGGCAGTGGCATTGCAAAACATCCAATGAATCTTTCAAATTCTGTATCCGTTATAATACGTCTGAAAAATCGGCACACTCTTCATTGGAATGTTCCCTTCCTTTGCCAATTCCTTCCCAAAGATTAGGGCAACTGCATTTGGTAACAAAAAAAATCCCACTTGCTGTTGATTTAGACATTCTTCAGATGCTGAGTTTGAGGCCACGAATGAATACCTGCTCAGCTTGAAAGATGTTTACAATCGGAAAGCAAATCTGGAGCTTATAATATCTGATAGGCTTCTCTTCAAATTGCAGTGTCATTGGTCAGAAACAATCAGTTTCTGTATCCTATGAAGTAACATTTCCAGTCATTTATTTTAAAATGTCTTTCTCTGCCCCACCCTAATATCTCCTGATCTTTTGCTCCTCTCATCACCAAGTAGCTGGTCCAAATCGCATCATTACTTTCTCCTGGTCACCAAGGTCCTTCTGCACTTTTTTCCGCATGTAGAATATAGGGCAATCCCGACTATTGAGAAAAGAGGAAGAAAACGTAAACATGTTAGACAGAATTTATAGCACAGAGACAAACCATTCGGCCCAGTGAGTTTGTGGTAGTGTTTGTACTTCACACCCTGAATTCACCTACTCCAATTAACATACTATTCTATTCCTTTCTCCCTCATGTACTTACCTAGCTTCCCCCTTTGATGCACCGAGGCTATCTACTTCAAATACTCTCCATGATAGTTAGTTTCATAGTCTTAACATGTCTAGGAAAGGAAATTACTCTCCGATTCAGCAGTGATTTATGTTGATGGTTCCCCAAGTTTCAGCTTCAGAACAAGTGAAAAAATCAGCTCTTTGTTCAAGAGAGGCTCAACCAATCTGCTGGGATAACAAAAAACATAGCAGTGATCCTTAGAAATAAAGGACGCGACTTGCTTGAACAAGACCTTGCAGTATTGCCTGACTGTCCACACTTGATTGATTGATTGATATTATTGTCGCGTGTACTGAAATACAGTGAAAAACTTTGTTTACAAGCAGTACAGGCAGATCACAGCAAGCAAAAGATATACAGATCAAAAAGACGTAGAAGCATACAGGTTACATTATTTGAGGCTAGAGTCCATTCAACAGTCTGATAATGGCTGGAAAGAAGCTGTTCCTGAACCTGCTTGCGCATGTGTTCAGGCTTCTGTATCTTCTGCCTGATGGAAGATGTCGTAGGAGGTCATTACCAGTTTGCGATGGGTCTTTGATGATGTTAGCCACCTTTCTGCAGCAGTGAGCCATGTAAATAGACTCCACAGATGGCAAGTTGGCTTCCGTGATGGTCTGGGCTGTACACACCACTTTCTGTAGTTTCTTATGGTCCTGGGCAGAGCAGTTGCCATACCAGGCCGTTATGCACCCAGATAGTATGCTTTCAATACTGCATCTGGAGAAATTGGTGAGGGACCTTACGGACATGCCAAATTTCCTAAGCTGCCTGAGGAAGAAGAGGCGTTGTTGTGCCTTCTTGACTGTCGCATTTACGTAGGAAGTCCAGGACAAGTTGTCGGTTATCATCACTCCAAGAAACTTGATGCTCTTCACTCTCTCAACCTCAGTTCTGTTGATGTAGATGGGGGTGTGTTATCCTCCTTTCTTTCTGGAGCCGATGATCAGTTCTTTAGCTCTGCCGATGTTGAGAGACAGATTGTTTTCATTGCACCATGTCACCAAGCCCTCTATCTCCCTTCTGTATTTTGACTTGTTAGATATCCATCCCACTTCGGTGGTGTCATCAGCGAACTTGTAGATGGTGTTCGTTTGGAATTTGGCAAAACAGTTGTACACAGTAGGGGGCTGAGGACGCATCCTTGGGGGACTCCAGTGTTAAGTGTTATTGTGGAGGAGGTGCAGTTACCTTTCCTCACTGACTGCAGCCTATGGGTCGGAAGTGGAGGATCCAGTTGCAGAGGGCAGAGCCGAGACCAAGGTCACACAGTTTTGAGATCAGTCTGGAGGGGATAATGGTGTTGAAGGTGGAGCTGTAGTCAACGAGCAGGAGTCTGATGTAGATGTCTTTGTTGTCCAGATGCTGCAGGGATGAGTGCAAGGCTAGGGATATGGCATCCTCTGTGGATCTGTTATATCAGTAGGCTAACTGTAAGGGATCGAGGCAGATTGGGAGACTGGAATTGATGTGGGCCGTGACCAGCTTCTCGAAGCACTTCATGATTATTGAAGTCAGAGCTATTGGGTGTTGGTCATTAAGGCATACTGCATATGTTTTTTTGGGTACAGGGATGATGGTGGTCTTCTTGAAGCAGGTGGGGATGTCAGCTTATAGGAAGGAGAGGTTGAAGATGTTGGTGAATACTTCCACCAGTTGGTCCTCCCAAGGTATGAGTGCTCGGCTGGGGACACCATCCGAGCCCATCACTTTCCTTCAGTTGACTCCCAGGAAGACTGATCTGACTTCTGAAGCCGTGGCAAAGAGAACAGGTGGGTCTGGGGCTGTTGGGGCAGGCATCGCCACGTCGGTGGTATTCTGCTCAGACCAAGGATAGAAAGCATGGAGTGTGACAGGGAGGGATGTGCCATTGTCCGATATCTCACACTGTTTGATTTTGTATCCCCTAATGTTGTTTAGGCCTTGCTACAGACAGCGGATGTCTGTTTGGTAGGTCTGGGCCTACACAATGCAGTCACAGTGAAAATAATAACATCCAATTTTCACTGCTTCTCTTTTAATGTTAATGTTCCAATGGGTACCTGGAGCACCAGTACCTTGCTAAAGAGGTCACTACTCCAACAACAAGTGCTTGCAAACTATGGACTTCTTTAATGTTAATGTTGATATCACACCTGCTGCGAAGGTGCAGAGAAACATTGTAACCTGCGTTGTTTTGTTACTTGTATAGTACAATCTGCCTGTAAAGCACCTAAGATTGTCAATACAGAGTGGAGCTGGAGGAATACAGCAGGTCAGGCAGCATCAGAGGAACAGGAGAGTCGACATTTCGGGCCTAGACTTCATCAGGTGTTCGTCCAGCTCTACGCTGTATTGACTCTGACTCCAGCATCTGCAGTTCTTGCTATCTCCAACACTTTTCACTGTATCTCGGTACATGTGACAGTAATAAATCAAATCAAATTCGATCAGATAGGATGCCCTCCATGATTTATAATTAACATTCATGACTCAGATGAAGGAATCAAAAGTACGATTGCTAAAGTTGTGATGACACAAAAGATAAGAAAGTTGTGAAAATGACAAAAGGGGCAATGAATTATGAATGTGGTTAAATGAGTGGACAAAAATTTGGCAGATGGAGCTTAAAGTTGGAAACTCTGAACCTGACCACTTTGGCAGAAATAGAAAAGCAGCATATTATTTAAATGGAGAGAGATTGAAGACCTCTAAGGCACAGAAGGATTTAGGCCTCCATGATCTGTGAATCAGAGTTTATATGCAGGTAGAGCAAGATATTAGGATGACAAACAAAATGTTGTCACTTATTGCAAGGGGAATGGAATATGAAGTAGGGATATTTTGCCAGTTGTTCAGGACATTGATAAGACCACATCTGGAGCACCATGTACAGTTTTGGTAGTCTTATTTAAGATGGGATATAACTGTACAAAGTGCAGTCCAGACAAGACTCACTCAACTGCTTCCTGGGAAGACAGGATTATCTTACAAGGAAAAGTTGGATAAGTTGGATCTGCATCCACTAGAGTTTAAGAAGTGATCTACTGAGACATACGAGCACCTCAGAGGACTTGACAGGATGACTGAACGGATGCTTTCCCTTGTGCGACAGTCGAAAACTAGGGAATAGAATTTTTAAGATAAAGCATTTTCGATTTAAGATGAAGACGTGACGAAACTTCTTCTCTCAGAGAAATGCGAGTCTTTGGAACTCTTTGCTCCAAAGATCAATGGAGGCAGAGGCATTGAATATTTTTAAGTCAAAAATTGACACACAGATTTCTGACTACCAAGAGAGTCAATGGTTATGAGGCTGAAGAAGAGACTGAAAGCAGAGTTGACGCCACAATCAGATCAGCCATGATCCTGGGAGAGCAGCTTTGAAGGACTGAACTACCTACTCCTGTTCCTAATTCATGTTTCTATGACCGAGGGATACCATGTAAACAGTATTGGTAGAACTAGAAAATTTCCAGCACTAACTTCCTTTTCCACTTCTTCACAATTAGCTTGGCCCCCTTTTATTTCTCATCTGATATTTCTTACAGCACCATGGGACATATGCCTTCAGCTGCCTCAGCCTCGATCACAAGAATTTCCTTCTGAAATTGTTCTGCCTCTCCCTCTATAATACCTTCCTTAAAATCTACTTCTTTGACCAGTACTTGGATACGCACTTTAAGTTATTAACCTACAAGACTACACAGCAAGAGCAGGAAAAGGAGATTAGGCTGAATGGTTCTTTTTCGGCCAGCATAGATATGGAAGGATTCATGTGCTGGAAATTTTAACGATTCCATGAATAGGGAAAACCAGCTGAAAAGTCAACATCAGCATTCTGTTGTTATTTAAATCTAGAACACCAGTCTGAAGCAGGACTGCCCGCTTGTCTTTAGGAAGTGTGCATGCAGAATGAATAACAGGACGGGAAAAGGAAGAAAGAAATTTCATCCTCTCAGACAAAGCAAAATATAAATCCACATTTAAAATGTACTGGAGGTGACAAGTGGGAAAGGGGAGGTTGCAATGGTTTTGTAGAAAAAAAACTTGTAAATAAAGTCTAAATTTTACCACCACTCTTTCACTTCCTTCTTTAGACAATAAAGCATTGTGGTGAGTGCTGCCTGATTCCAACACGTCTGCATCAAACTCCCATACTCAAAGGTGGTGTGGGACAGTGCAGCTTTTCTTAAAAAAAAAATCACTGATCCTCTTTTTAAATTGGTAATGATTTATTCATCAATAAATGTAATGAGAAAATTCACATCATGCAAGAAAGTTCTCACTTACACAGAATGTATCACGACCTCAGGACGTCTCAAAGCACTTTATAGTCCCCTACTGTAGTATTCACTATACTTTATCAGTACATTATAAAGCACTGTGGGAGGTTTGGAGGTTGTGAAAGGAAAATACTTTATTCCAAAACTACCCTTTAAATCACTTCAATGTGATTTCAAAATAATTTTTACACACCGAGATCATGTTTAAGGAATTCTAGACCAATAATATTCCATACTCTGAATTTAGGTGCTGGCCGTGGCTCACTGGCACTTTTATCAGAGTCAGGTGGTTGCAAGTTCAAGCCCCAATCTAGAGGCATAAACGCAAAATCTAGGGTGATCCTCCAGTTTAGAACTGAGAGAGAAATGCTCTGTTGGGAGGTGCAGTCCTTTGGATGGGATGCTTAACCAATATCTCACTTATCTTTTCATCAGGATTTAGAAGATCCCACTGAGCTAATGAAGAACAGCAGGAAGATTCCTCCGACTTTCTAACATCTATCCCTACACCAAAATTGCTAATATAGATTAACAGCAAGTAGTAACAGCTGATGGAAGTATGAGCTTAAAATACTTCAGGATATCTCGCAAATATGAAAGGTGCTTTATAAACACAAGTAATTTCCTTATTTTTAATTTAATTATTTTAGTTGAAGCAAATTGTAGCACTCTACTGACAATCAGCTCACATTAGCTCACAGTCAAATCAAGATGTTTCTCTAGGAACAAATTACTGCAGATGCTAGAATCTGCACTGAAAACAACAAATGCTGGCGAGATAACAGTGGGTCAGGCAGCATTTATGGAGACAGAGCAAGCTAACGTTTTATGATGACTCTTCACTCGAAACGTGAGATGTTTCTGTCCTACATGACCACCTCTTCAAGATGGCCCTTAGTCATTGCTGCACTGTTAGGATAATGGCTTACATCGTACAGCAGAAAGCAAAACATTGAATCACAAAATCCATTTGTCATTACCGTGAATCACTGTACACGAAGTTTCATTCTTCATTTTGTCTCATGTTTTTGTTTCAAATACAGTGCACAAATCTCACCCTTCCATTGGATATTACTATGCCACAGAAAATTAAACAGCGCTTTGATTTACGACCATCACAGAAACTTGTCTGGAAACATAAATCATGCCCATTGGCCATGAAGGCATCATAAATGTCGATCTTAAGCCAGAGATTTCTCAACAAGCATGAATCTTTCTCACGTACCCAATTACCTCAGAGCTGAGACAACCACTGTAAGTTATGACAGCTCATCTTAACAAGAACATTAAAAGAGCAAGCAAGTTTGGAAGTTGGAAGTGGAGGGAAGGAAGAGTTACATGCTAAGGTGAGTACGGTATGTGGAGGAAAATGCAAAATTATTAGACAAACTATTTAGTCTGACTCCATTATAAGATTGATCAACTCATTGTATGTTATAATTGTTCGTTATCAAAATTAAAACCGAATCGTTTTTGGTTTTAAGTTCTAATTTTAGCATTTTGAATTAGGTGAAAGAAAAGTTGGAAACCAAGAGAATTAAGAAATTTATTTATGTTTCAAACATCACTAAAACACACAGCGATACCCTGTAAAATACACGCCTCAGTACTTCATGAGATACATCCACAACCAACTAAGCAACACAAACCTCAAAGCAACTCTCCACTAAATTTAGTACTGAAATGACTGTTCATTGTACTATGCCTCACCCATACAGCTCATAATATGTGCAACAACACCACATGTGATGTGCCCACATCTCTGGGCTAAGTCTTCAGTGTAAAAAAAAGTGGGAATTCATGATTGTTAATATTAAAATTAGTACAGAATGAATTTTAACCAATCCACTAAAATCAAGTTTGGGAATATAATGAAAATTATTCAAAATTGCTTTAATTAATCTAACCACATTTCTCTATCCACCTGCCTTACAAATATTCAGTTGTTCCTCAAACCCTTTATTACATACTCGCTAAGTGTTTTCTCTGGTTTGATAAATCAACTATATTGTCTACTTTTCAAATAGTTCATGGTGCTTCAGTTGACTTTATTGCTGCTGTTGTAGCTACCATCATCAGGAGATCTGCTGCCATGTCTCCATGTCTTGCACCATTCCCTCACATTCACCACAGTTTGAATGAAACTTCTGTGATGTTTCTCAACCAACTATGCTTAAGTTATACCCTCTTTCTGCTGTCCTCCACTTTGCCGCCTAGAAGAGATTTCTGTTGCTTTTCAGATCAGATGGCAGAAATACTTAAATGTCATTTCTGGATGTTATGTCATAAGAGACTTTTTTTCTCTTGCAATTTCAAGCATCACTCATCTCATGGCTTGGTATTTTAAGCATATGACCCAGCATCCAGATAGTTTCTTCATATCTTAGATCTCTAAAGAGTGTGACACATATCTCAGTTGACCCACACAATAACTCAAAGATCATTCAAAGACTTTTCCAGTAGTAGATTATTTGATTTTGCATAATGGCTAGCCTTCAGCTTCCGATACAATCTTGTACGTCAACACTATATTCTTGGGGTTAAGGAGTTTTGTCAGAACTGTAGTAGTTAAGGTTGCGATGAAGTTGGACCAACAACATGAGAAGGGCATTACTGGATACATTCCACTACGCTAAAAGTAACTGGGGACAGGCAGCCTAGTACCCATATCACAGCAAACCATTAGCGTAGGAGGGAGGAGAATTAGTGCAAGCAGTGAAAAAGGGAAGTGCTTTAAAAATATAAATTATTTATCCAGAATCGTCATTCATTGAAACACTGAATAAAAATACAAATTGAATACAAACATTTTCTAGACATTGGCCCTGGAGCTGTGTGGAGTTATGGGAGGAGAAGTGAAAAAGCAGGAAATCATCACAGTGAAATGATTAAGAGGGAAGACAGAATGATGAAACATGCAAAGTGAAGCCAAGCTTGGGATTTGAAAGCCTGCAGTTATCAGAGGATTGGAAGACGAAGCAAGGTTTAGAAGTTCTACAAGTCTAAGCCCCAATTAGGGACAAACTCAAAAGTCAGAACTGGAGTCAGCTAAGTAGCAGCTTTGTAAGGAGGAAAACCATCAGAGGGAGCAGAAAACTGTTTCCTTACCTGGTACAAAGCACGTCCTCATGCAAACTACCCTGACATCGCTGGCATTGAGTCCACAAGCGTGAAAACTTCTCCTCTAGTAGTTTCAGCTGAGATACCTGAAAATGAGAAAATGGGTTTACAAGGAATAGAACAGATAACAGCAATACAGAGTGAAGTAACATCTAGATAAATCCAAGTTTTGCAGTTAAGCAGAGTTATGCAGCTTTCTTTTCAGTGTAAAAACAGCATAATCTTATAAAGGAGTAACAAGAGAAAAATCACAAATGGTAGCTTATTTTTGGATACATATATATACACATACATACACACACACAAAAATCACACATTTAAGAACACTTCAAGTCAATTTGCTCATTGCAGTGCAACTGCTGGTGAGAGGCCATAGATATTGATCAACACTTCCATTTATATGTACAGAAACAAGATCACAATACATGACATTAAAATGGAAACTGAACTCCGGTACAATTACTCCCTTGTAACCACACTTCACTTAATCTTGAATGTGTTTGCCTGCAAACAACTGGTATATTATAAAGTGTGCACAGGACACCCAGTTGTTGTCCACAAATTTTACTACTCCTTGTCATTTCATTACACCAATAAGCCAACCATTAAAAGTTGCTATGTCAACATTTCCAATTCAATGTAATCCTGTTGGCTGCCACAATGATTGCAGGTTGCAGACACTGAATGGTTGTAACATCCTCTCAACTCATCTCAAACTCAATTACCTGTTTATTTGAAAAATGAAGCAATACAAAATCAAATAAAACATGAAAAGGACAAGACCCTTTATTAGAGTCTTATCTTTCAAATGGTAACTTGTCTACCATTCAATTCCCTATCCTACTCTTTTCTGATAGCAAGAGAGTCAATCCATTACCAAAGCTACCATGTATAAAACACTTACTTTCATGAAGTGCTTCATGGCTGCTGACCCCTTGTAGAGTTAAGTCCAGCAAAAATTAGTGTCTCTGGAGAAAAATAATGTGTCTGACCTCAACATAACTTTATTGAAAATAGGATTACTAGTTAAAAGGTCTGAGATTAATTTAAAGGAAGAATTCAACCTGGCAATTCATGTGATAGGCACCCCCTTGCAAGGCTTGCTCTTCTTGTCTATAGTGTCACTTGAATCTTTCAAGTGGACTGCAGTGTTGCAAACTATCAAATATTTGCTTATGCTCCAAATCTCTAACTCACCATTCATTCTCCTGCTTTCAATATATCAGCTGAGAAAAAACAATGTACCCAGCTCTGTACTCAAAGGCAAGTTTAAAGTCGGATTCCTTTGTTTCTTCACAAGGGAGACAATAATGTCACTGAAATAGCAAACTCGAACCCAAGGCTAATGCTCTGGTAATTTGGATTCATCCAACTGTGGCAGATGGCAAAAACAGATTTCAACAAGAGCTAGAAAAAACGGGGCCTAATATGACCACTACTGATCAGTGTAAAAAGCCATCTGGTACACTAATATCCTTTGGGGAAGTAATCTGTTGTCCTTACCTGGACTGGACTACGTGACTCCAGAACTACACCGATGTGCTTGACTCTTAACTGCCCTTTGGGCAATTAGTGACAATCAATAAATGCTGACATCCATGAATAACTTTTTCAAAATACAAGTTGAAGATAGAAACGAATGACCATGTTACAGATTGACACAGCACAGAAAGTGGTTATTCTGTGCATCATACCACTGCTGGTTCTTTCAAAGACTATCCAATTAATCCTAATCTCCTACAAAAACAGAATTTTCAGGAGAAAATCAGCAAGTCTGGCAGCATCTGTGGAGCAAAAGTAGGGTCACTGCTTTGGGTCCAGTGACCCTTCATTAGAACCCGAGTTTCTCCAGCAATTTCTGTATTTGTTTAATATTTCCAGTATCTGCAGCTCTTGGTTTTATTTAATTCCCTTTATCAATACTGGAGAATTAACAGAGTATATATTTTCAAAAATTATCACAAACTATGCAAATTAGAAAAAGTTACCTCCTTCTGGTACAACTCAGACTGACGACATTTGCAGTAACTGCACACAGCACCTGAAGAAAAGCAGGTTAAGATTAAGTTAAATTTGCAGTCTCCTTCTAGTTAAGTAGTGCAGAATTATAAAGAGAGATGCTATAAAGGCTTGAAACTTGCACATAAACTGTGATTGGGACAACTAATGATTTACAAACAACAGTTGTAAATAGGAAGAGGGAAGACCATTCAACTCTTCACAGGAATTAAACAAGGTTGATCCATATCTCAATTCCTGTTTGTTCTGCAATCCTTCATTTCCAGTGTTGAACAAATATCAATCAAGTTTTGAAATTTATTTAAAATGCCATGCAGCCACCAGAGCAAACAAGGGAATAGTATGTTCCAGATTTCAATTACCTTTTATATGAAGTAGACGATTAAACATAATTTTAAAATTCTGATGCAAGATCAGTGATCTGAAATGTTAGCTCTTTCTCTATCCACTGATGCTGCATGATCTGCTCAGCATTCCTTACACTTTTGCTTTTGATTTCATAATTTACAACAATTGTAGTATTTTAATGCTAACATTTAAGCAAGAATTAGAAAAGGAGACAGTGGACAGAGAAATGGGAGGAGATATTCTCGGCTCAGTGCAGCTAATAGACTTAGTGACTTCCTTTTGTAGTGTAATATTTCTGATTCTTTAAAATCTTACAGAAAAATGCTGAAACACACACTTTATCAACAAAGTGAGAACATCTAGGATGACTAGCTAGTAGTTCTCTCCAAATAATAAATTATTTTTGACCCTTTTCAAGTAGTAATGCTTGTATTGAGCTCCATTTTATCCTTTCTGTGGAATCTGGAAAAGCCAGCATTCATTGCCTATTCCTAACTGTATTTTGTACCTCTGCAGTCCATATAGTACACTTTAGGTTGTTCAGCAGGGAATTCTAGGCTTTTGACCCAGCAATGAACAAACATCGATACATTCCCAAGTCAAAATAGTATAGAGCTTGGACAGGCAGTGGTGTTCCCTTGGGTTTGCTGTTCTTATCATTCCAGGTGATAGAGATCACAGGTTTGAAAGTGCTATTGAAGAAGCCTTGCCAAGCTGCTGTATTTCATCTTATGTGTGGTATGCACTGCAGCCAGAGTATGTTGTTGCTGAAATGAGTATATGTTTAAAGTGGTGAATGGGGTGTCAATCAAGGGGCCACTTTGTCCTTTGTCAATTGTTTTGAGTGTTAAACTGCAATCATTCAGGCAAGTGGAACTTGTTTCACCATTCTTCCAATCTGGTGCCTTGTAGATGATGGAAAATTTTAGGGGAGTCAAGTAAGTCACTCACCATAGACTTTCCAATCTTTGACCGCTGTTACAACTAACATGTTTAAGGGCTTGGTCTGGTTCAGTTTTTTGTCTTTGTTTCCCTTGATAATCATACCAGTTTTCTGCTGAGCTTCAGCTCTGGTCTTCACTCCACAGTCGATTATTCATCAGCTACCCAGTGGAAGCAATGGCTGGCTACTCAGCTACAATGTGTACTAAAGCTTAGTCAAATCTTGCCTCCAGTCAACACCTGTAGGTGTACCCTTTTGTCAATGATCACACATGAATCAAAGGCATGTCCCCTGTTTACTATTCAATAGCCAGGCTTTCAACTGCCTGGAGCCAACTTACTCCACAGAACATTCTGTATCCTGCTTCTCTTTGAAGTTGCTCCTCAAAACTGACCTCTGGTGAAACGTTTTGTCACCAGCTCCAATATCGATGTCTCAGTGTCATATTTTGTCTGATTATATTGCTGAGAAGCGTCATGGGCATTTTTAGTGCTTAAAGGTGCTACATAAATGCCAATCATATCTGCAATTATTTTTTGATCGGACTAACCTGGCATTTTCCCCATATGTGAAGCAATAAACGCCCCAATTTGAAAACTGAACCATTTCAAAAACAAGCTTCCTGTTGATTTGGACAATTATGTTCACAAACATATGTTCACAACTGAAGATAGTGGATTATATGATCCAATTTCATAGCTGAGAGTAAGTTACAATACAGCAAATTCAGCATTACATCATTTAATTTTAAGAGTTTCTTTTAATCAGCCAGCATTTCCAAGATTAATCACTAGTCCATCATAAGCATGGATATTATATGAGGGAAGGTTGTTGTGCCAACCAGGTCTAGGTAAACTGAAAGGTAAACTCAGGCAAGGTAAGGGCAGAACCAGAGTCAGCAGACCCATAAGAAACAATTAGGTAGAAAAGAAATAGTGAAAAAATATAAGGAATAGGGCAGAGGAAGCCAGAGGGATTCTTGAGCCTATACTACCATTATAGAATTTTCCAAATGATCTTTTACCTCAACTCCACTTTCCAGTGCTATCCCCATATCCTTCAGCACTAATACCTATATCTTTCAGTCTTGAACATGCCCAATGACCAAGCATCACCTGACTCTAATCAGGTGAATTTAAAATATCCGCAGTTCCCCGAATAAAAAAGACATTCTCCTTATCCAGACTCGCATATCATAGCCTTTATACCGAGACAATGATCCCTATTTCTATCACTTCAGCCAGTAGAAACTGCCAGAAGCATCTGCCCAATCCTGTCCTCTATTAGTGAGGGAAAAATGATTCATGGATCTGCAGCATATTACAAACAATAATGGGCAGGATATGGATTTACATTTACAAAGTAGGAGGCGGCGGTGGCATTGTGGTAATGCTGCAAGACTAGTAATCCAGACAGAGCGCCAATCAAATCTGGAACTAAAAGCTAGTCTTATGGTAACCATTATCAAAAATCCCATCTGGATTATCAATATCCTTTAAGTAGGAAATCTGTCATTCTTACCTGGCCTACACGTGACTCTAGACCCACATCAATGTGGCTGCCTCTTAACATTCCTAAAAACAAATGGCCCAGCAAGCCACTCAGTTTTATCAAAACTGCTACAAGATCTAAAGAAAAATCTTAAGTTAGATAGACCACCTTGCACTAACCTAGACACTGGCAATGACAACAAAACGAAAAGAAAAAAAGCTCTCTCAATGCTGCAAAATCCTCCTTATAAAATCCAGGGACTGTGCCATTCTCTGAAACCATTCAGCAACCGCGTGACAGGAGACAGCTTTGGACCCATACTTTATAGACAATGACCCAAAATTCCCTATCACCATCACTGCTACATCCTGCCCCACCAGCAGGGCACACCCACCAGAATGACTGGAAAATAATATACAACTGGGAAGGAGTTGCCCTTGGAGACCTCAACATCAGATCCAGATCCCACGATATCTCATGGCATCAGGTCATAAAAAGACAAAAAAACTCCTGATTACCACCTATGGCCCACATCTCAGCTGATGAATCAGTACTCCTACATGTTGAACACCATTTGGAAAAAGCACTGCTGGTGACAAAAACACAAAACATACTCTGGGTGGGGATTCTGGCTAAGTTTGCAGATGACACAAAAATAGATGGAGGGACAGGTAGTATTGAGGATGTGGGGAGGCTGCAGAAAGATTTGGACAGGTTAGGAGAGTGGGCAAAGAAATGGCAGATGGAGTACAACGTGGAAAAGTGTGAGGTCATGCACTTTGGCAAGAAGAATAAAAGCATGGACTATTTTCTAAATGGGGAGAAAATTCTGAAGTGCAAAGAGACTTGGGAGTTCTAGTCCAGGATTCTCTCAAGGTAAACTTGCAGGTTGAGTCAGTAGTCAGGTAGGCAAATGCAATGTTGGCATTTATTTTGAGAGGACTTGAATATAAAAGCAGGGATGTACTACTGAGGCTTTAAAAGGCTCTGGTCAGGCCACATTTGGAGTATTGTGTGCAGTTTTGGGCCCCATATTTCAGGAAGGATGTACTGGCCCTGGAGCGGGTTCAGAGAAGGCTCACGAGAATGGTCCCAGGAATGAAAAGCTTAACATATGAGGAATGTTTGAGGATTCTGGGACTATGCTCATTGGAGTTTAGAAGGATGGGGGGGATCTAATTGAAACTTACAGAATACTGAATGGCCTGGACACAGTGGATGTTGGGAAGATGTTTTCATTTGTAGGGGAGACTAGGGCCCAAGGGCACAGCCTTACAGTAGAGGGAAGACCTATTAGAACAGAGATAAGGAGAAACTTCTTTAGCCAGAGAGTGGTGAATCTATGGAATTCACTGCGACAGAAGGCTGTGGAAGCCAGGTCATTGAGTACATTTAAGACTGAGATAGATTGGTTCTTGATTATCAAGGGGATCAAGGTTTACGGGGAGAAAGCGGGAGAACGGGGTTGAGGAACTTATCAGCCATGCCTGAATGGCAGAGCAGACTCGATGGCCCAAACGGCCTAATTTCTGCTCCTATGTCTTATGGGGGATTTCAGTATCCGTCACCAAGACTGACTTAGTAGCATCATTATTGAGAGCCCTAAATGACACAGCTGTCAGACTGGGGTCTGAACAAGGTGGAAAAACATCTGACAGTGCCCTCAACAATCTACTTAGCACAAATGTGTACTGATTGGACTGACCATTGACAGTCATTACAGAAAATCTCATCTTCATATTAATGATAGTCTCCATCACATTGTGTGCACTACCAGAGTGCTAAATGGGACAGTCTTTGGACAGGCCTAACAACTTAAAACTGAATATCCATGAGGCACTGTGTAAGCAGCAGAGCTACATTCAACTCAAATGTGTAATTTCGTGACCTGGTATATACCCCATCCACCCAAGATGAAGCCTGATTCAATAAGGACATGCCAGGTGCAGCACTAGGCATAACTAAAAACAAGGCGTCAATATAAGACTACTAATGTGCCAAAAGAGAGGGCTAAGTAATCCCATAATCAATGGATCAGATCTAAGTTCTGCAGTCCTGCCAAATACAATCATTTATGGGCGGCACGGTGGCACAGTGGTTAGCACTGCTGCCTCACAGCACCAGGAACCCGGGTTTGATTCCACCCTCGGGCAACCGTCTGTGTGGAGTTTGCACATTCTCCCCATGTCTGCGTGGGTTTCCTCTGGGGTGCTCCAGTTTCCTCACACAGTCCAAAGATG